TGTTTATTTTTCTCTTTGTTAATCTATATATTCTAATTTTTCTAGAGTAAAAAGATTATATGTGTGTGTATATATTAATATATGCAAGCTACATGTGATTTATGGATGTATAATTAAGAAACAAACTTTTAAAATATGACTAAAATAGTAACAATAATATTTCCTTTAGAATTAATTCACATATCAGTTTCTGCTGCTTACCTGGTCTTTTGTAGATATGGTCTTGCTAAAAGCATCAGCAAGTTCATACCTCTGAAGTACCAGTAACAAGAACTTGTTGGGATCCATTAGAGATGCACCAATCTGTGAAAGAAATTCATCATCTTATTTCTTGTGTATTAAATGGAGAAACATTTTGTCCCTTGTAGGATTGTCATAAAATGATAAAGTAAGTTTGCAGAAGATAATTTAGTAGGCCCTTCAATTTTTATGATGTCATGTTCACAGAATGGTGAGGAAAATTTAAATTGAAAATAATTACAGTATCTTCTTTTATGACAAGGAATATAAGAGGATTAAATATCATAAACAATTTAAATAGGTACCTGAAGCATGATGATATCTTTATCATACATTTCTTCTCTGCACTTAACATCTTGGTAATAAAACACCTATAAAATAGAAGGTAGAACAGATACTAAAAGAATTATTTTGTTTCAAGCAAAATTTCCAACAAAACCTATTCTTAAAATTTTCTCTAATCTAGAAACCCCTAGAAATCCTTAGTGGCAAAAAAATATGTTGTAAATCTATGAATCATTTTAAGGGAATTGTGAGGATGAAGTGAAGAAATATGGCATGAAAACACTTCAGAGTTAAAAATGCTCTATATTAGTTATTATTCTCAATATGTGTAACAAAATAATTTATTTCCCCCAAGTTTAAAATATCTACTTCAATAAAAGTAAACCAATTTCTATGCTCAATCATTAACACCACTTCTCTTCCAAGCAGTAACTTTAAAAGTCCTACTTCCCCACCTTTTAGGAAAAGCACTTCTCCATATTTGCTGTAAAACAGAAGGAAAAATTATACAGTGGCCTTTGATTAAGACAAATGGTGGGAAGACTAAAGGCCTCTAAGTAAGGTAATCTTCAGAAAAGAGCTATGCTAATGGGGAGGCTTCTGGTGGTACTACTGGCTTTCACCTAAGCACGCTAGCTTCTTATAATTCAAATGGAATAAATGGTAAATAGGTTAAAAGGAGAAATGTCTATATGGCCCCTAGAACTTTCATTTCTAAGAATTTATACAAGAGAATAGAAGAAAATACTCAGCAAAATCTAGGGATATAAGGTAAAACTATATAAAAGAAAAAAAATCATAAAATGAACACATTCACAAATGGGTATATTAGACCCTGCCATACCTGGCTAATGAGAGAGAGCCCATTTCTTCGCCACATCTCAGCAACAACCTGGGCAACCAATACCAGACAACGCAATGGATATTCCACCAGTACCTCTATTTGAAAGTCCTCCTGAAACAGAGTGAGGTCAATTTCATTATTTCTCACAAGGACTGGATGTGTTTTAAGGTTATGACACTACATATTCACCAGCTGTCTCATCTATAAAACAGAAGGACTTGAGGTAGATGACTTCTAAGTCCCTGTGATTCAGATTTCAATGTACTATACATAGATGTAAAATTACTAAATAAGAATTACTCAGGTGGATTTCAAAATATCTTTCTTCCCATCAACTAAGAGGTGTATAGAAATAGAACATAAGCAAATCAGTAACTAGTAGAGTCACTTACAAGAGGCACAAATTCATGCAGTCTTGAAACAGCACCCAGCCTACTTAAACGCACGTGAAGACCTAAAATTAAAAAGAAAAAGAGAAAAAAAAGCAATTAAACCCATTCAGTTTGCTGACTAGTTAACTCATCAAGTTTGAAAAGTCATGTGATTTAAATGTACGTTTACTGAGTTCAGAAATGATACTCTAGAATGCAGACTTTTGATTTCTAATTTCGAAACAATATTACTAATACACTTAAAGTCCTACACTGTAAAAGGTGTACTCAGACCTTATATAAAAATAATATGCTGTCTCTCACAATATGTTTAGTCTGCTCTTAACCAAGCATCAAAAAAGTGAAAATTAATCTAAGTATTTTTAAAATACTTTAAAATAAAAATAGAAGAATATAAAATTACATGACTTCAATTATACCATATACAAACATTAACTTAAAATGGATCAAAGACCTAAACAAAGGTGCTAAAACTATAAAACTCTTAAAAGAAAACATAGGGAAAAGGTTTCATAACATTGGATTTGATATGGCTTTTGGATATGACACCAAAAATACAGGCAACAAAAGAAAAAATAGATAAACTGTATTATATCAAAAACTCTTGTGTATCAAAGGACACTATCGACAGGGTAAAAGGGCAACCCTCAGATGGGAAAAAATATCTGAAAATCATATATCTGAAAAGCAATTCTGTCCAGAATATATAAAGAACTACAACTGAACAGTAAAAAAAAACTCCATTAAAAAATGGGCAAAGCATTTGAATAGACATTTTTCCAAAGAAGATATACAAACAGCCAATAAGCATATGAAAAGATGTTCAAAACCACTAATCATTGAGGAAATGCAAATCAAAACCACAATAAGATACCACTTGACACCCATTAGAACAGTTATTGTCAAAAAATCAGAAAATATTAATAACAAGTATTGGCACAACAAGTGTTGGCAAGGATGCAGAGAAACTGGAATTCTTGTGCACTGCTGGTGGAAATGTAAAATGGTGTAGCCACTATATAAAACAATATGGTACGGTAGTTCCTCAAAAAATTAAACAAAGAATTCCCACAGATCCTGAAATTCCACATCTGAGTATATACCCAAAAAAACTGAAAGGAGGACTTGAACAGATATTTGTATGTTCATGTTCATAACAGCATTTTTCACAATACCCAAAAGGTAGAAGCAATCCAAGTGTCCATCAATGAATGAATGGATGAACAAAATGTGGTATATACATACAATGGAGTATTATTCAGCCTTAAAAAGGAAGGAAATTCTAAGGCATACTGCAACATAAACCTTGAGGACATTTTGCTAAGTGAAATAAGTCAGTCAATAAAAGGACATACTATCTGTATGTTTCTACTTATACCAGGTACCTAGAGCAGTCAAATTCACAGAGACAGAAAGTTAAGAGTGGTGGTTGCCAGGGACTGTGGGGAGGAGGAAACAGGGAGCTGTTATTCAATAATAATATTATAATATTTTATTTTGGAAGTTTCATTTTTGAAAGATGAAAAAGTACTAGAGATGGATGGTGTTGAAGGTTGCATAACAATGTGAATGTGTTTAATGCCACTGAACTGTACACTTAAAAATGATTAAAATGGTGAATTTTGTTACGTATATTTTACAACAATTAAAAATATAAAAATATACACCTCAATAAAGTTGTTAAAAAAGAAAAAATGTGACAGATGAAGGGCCAATTTACATGGAATGCAAATTAAAGATTTGCATTAAAGAAAATCTATGATTTCTTCCTTTTGGTAGCAAAGGAACAATGATACAGACAATACACTAGTGAAACTGGGCAGAGAGGAGGGGATTAAAAACCAGTAACAAGATTTTATATTTAAATTTGGGTGGGAAATGAGTTACCATGTTAGTCCTTAAGTGTATACTATAAGGATATATAAGCTGACCCAGATAAAACAAGGTCCAGGTAAACAAGCATCCTTACATAGATGTTCTGGCTATAGTTCCTTGAAGGAAGTGACAGCCCTTAACTGTGGTATCTGACCTAAGTTATGTCTGTACATACCGAGCACAAAATAGAAATTATTCTACTACTTTGAATATCTAGAAAACAGAGCTAACGAAAACATGCAATAAGCAAAAAACAAACACTCACCAGCAAGAGTCCTAGACAGTGGCAGATGTATGCTTACAAGATCCTCAGATACTCTGTAGGACTTAGTTTCCAAAGTATGACCACACAATTGCACTACTGTCTTGCTACCACATATGAAACTTGTACTGCACCTCATCACAGCTTTGTGACATTCTTTATAAGCCACAAGTAAGAGTTCTTCCTAAAAGGAAAATAAAAATTCAAGTAAATTGACAAGTTGTCTACTTTACTACTCATCATTCAATAAACATTTACTAAATATGAGTGCAAAATTGTTCTATATATTACTAGGGCCATCTCCACTGGATCTGCAAACCAGTAGGAAATATAAGATATATACATATATACTTAGACAATCAAAGTGAAAAATTGTAAGTACCATGTCAATGGTACAAACTGATTGCTCTTAGAGGGCAAAAACAAAGAATCTTTGGGGAGAGATGCTTGTGAAAGCACCTTTAGGCACTAAAATAATAGTAAAATTTAAGTATGGGGAAAGATGAAAAGGTAGCCTTCTAAGCAGAAATATGGAATAAACCCCAAAATAAGGGAAAACAGGACTTCTGTTCAGGCAATAGAGAGGATTAAAAACTAGATAAATCAAAGGATTTATGGATGGAATTTGAACTGAAAATATGCCTTGGCATTGTCATGTGAATACACTGATAGCATCTGAAAGGTAACAATGTAGTCAACACACTGCTTCAAGAATTAATGTGTATCACTGCCAAATGTGGTGGCTAGCTTTGGGGGGCCGAAGTGGGAGGATCACTTTGAGGCCAGGAGTTCAAGACCAGCCTAGGCAACATAGCGAGACCCCATCTCTATAAAAAAATTTAAAAATTAGCTGGGTGTGGTGGTGTATGCCTGTAGTCCTAGATACTCAGGATGCTGAGGCAGCAGGATCACTTGAGCCCAGGAGTTTGAGGGTGCAGTGAGCTATGATACCACTGTACTCCAGCCTGGGCAACATAGTGAGACCCTGTCTCTACCAAAAATAAAAAAAATTTTAAAAATTAAAAAGTAATTAATTTGTATCACCAAAGATAGATCAGAGAGGATGAAGTTAGGACACAAGGAAACCAATAGGAAAATTATACTATAAAGGTGTAAGGTAATAAGGATTTGAACTAGGGTGAGACAGTCATGATAGAAAAAAATTGAACACATAGAAAATAAGTTAAGATTATAAAATAACTTTGGGCCAAAGAAGAATCAAATCCAGGTGAGTATGGCACTAAGACAGAAGAGTCAAAGGTAAATTTCTTACAACAGTGTTTCTTACACTGATTTTATCTTGAAAAGGGAACTCCATGGTCAAATAGATTTGGGGGGACATCCTTCTTAGAAATTAGCATAATGACTAATTAAAGGGTTTTAGAAGTGTAGTAGCTTAAAAAAAAACCCTCTTTGATTTTTTTCAACCTAATTGTCATTTCCCAATCTTACATGAACTCAGAACTTTTTTCCCCTGTCAAAGCATCTGTTAATATTGAACACACAGAATACAGTGGCTCTGAGATTTCCCATATGGATGAATATATTAACAGTAGTGTCATTAACAGAAGAAGGGAAGATAAGAAAATGCAAGTTGGAAACAAAAGGAAATGATAACAAATCAATTTAAAATATTCTGAGTTAGAAATATAAGTGTAAGTAAGAACTGAGGAGGAATGTCTGGCACACAAACAGAAGTGATACTATAGCTTAGGAGAGTCATTCCTATGAGGTTTTAATTAAATGGTAGAAATAAAAGAGAAAAGAATACAATATACACACACATACATGCAAAGTAAAAAATCATAAGTACCATGTAAATGATACAAACTAATTGCCCTAAGAGGACAACGAAAAGAATCACAAACAACTAGAAAGAAATATTTGTGAAAACATTTTTCCGTAACAGAAGAGAAGAGAATATTGGGGGATGTCTTGTTTAGCAGGCAAAAGGTATTGCAAAAAGGCAATCATTGATTGAAATGGGTAATTGATAATGGAAATACTAGGATAATACAGGTTTATGAAAATCATAGGAAAGAACGTTTTAAGAAGATTAAGGTATTCAACAGAATACAATGCTACAGACAATTCAAGGAAGATGGAGACTAAGAAAGGACTTCTAAATTTGGCTACTAAATGGATCCTTTGAGATTTTTTCTAAATGTAGTTCTCGTCAATTAGTAAGGGCTGATTCCAGACTCTAAGAAAGTATTAGGCACTAAAGAGTGAAGATATTAAATGCAGATGACTTCAGAAGGTTTCAGAAATGTCAAGATGAAAAATACATACTTTAATCCCATCTCCAGACAATTGTGCATACCCTCCATAAGGATAAGGGAAGCCAAAAAATATGTGCTGTACTTGCTGGACAATATTTCCTGTGCTTATTGTTCTACAAAGCTACTGTGCTAAAGTCTGTTGTGTCTGTGAGTATGACAGCCCCTCTGAACCTGTGACCAATCGCTAGTAGTAGAAGGCAAGGAGAGAAAAGACAGAACCTAGTTTACAGAGGTAGCAAAGACAAGTAGGGTACTTTTATTATTGTTGTTTTTAAAGATAGGAGAGTCCTGTATGTTTACAGGCAGTTGAGTAAAAGAGGAGGAAACAAAAGTGGAGACAACTGAGGAAGCAAACTCCAGAAAAAAGTAATATAAGTTGGGACCTAGAGCCTAGGAAGAGGTATTACTTTTATTTCTTTTAGTTTCTTTTTTTCAATTGCTCCTATTCAAGAAGAGGCATTACTTTTAGAAGAAAAGGAGACAAAAAGGAGGAGACCAACAGTGAAGACACAGAAAAATTTAGTGAATAGATTATGATGACAGCTACTGATAAACTGGAAAAGATGAAGGAAATTTGACTGAGACAATGTCAATTTTTTGAGAAAAATAAATAAATGAGGTCATTTTCCTTTAAGGGAATCTGGGATAGGATTGTGTGTTTCAAGAAAGTTATGGTCCACAATTGCTGCTTAAGGAAAAACAGTTCTATATTTTGAAATTCATTTTCTTAATTGTTTAACACATATAACAAAGCTCTTAATTGACTAAATATCCACTCCATTCTTGGAATATTTAAAACTCTCTGTGGGGCCAGGCATGTTGGCTCATGCCTATAATCATAGCACCTTTGGGAGGTTGAGAAGGGAGGATCACTTGAGTTTGAGACCAGCCTGGACAACATAGCAAAACCCCTTTTCTACAAAAAAATTTTTTTTAATTAAGTGGTAGAAATAAAATATTCTTCAGCATGGTGGCTTACACATGTAGTCCCAACTACTTGGGAGGATGAGGCAGGAAGATTGCTTGAGCCCAGGAGTTTGAGATTACAGTGAGCTATGATCATATCACTGTATTCCAGCCTAGGTGACAGAGTGGGATCCTGTCTTCA